CTGGACATAAAGATTAGGGTGATGGTACGTAGGTCTTCCAATCCCCAGCAGTGAAAAATCATCACAAATACCCAGAGTTGGGCAGTAACTATCAACATTCACCTGAGTAACTTTTCTGAAAAGAACGTACTTCTAGGAGTGGTTGTACTTTACATGAGTAATATTATTATGAAGTATTGCTTTTCTTACTTAAATAACATTTCTAGAGTCTCTGCCCACTATGGGTAAGTTCACTGACTGTACAGCCAACAAGTTTTACCAAAGACAAAAAAAAAAAAAATGCACCAGACACAGACCTACAGCTTATGTTGAAGTGAGACCTCTTGTTTGTTATTCTGTTATTTTCTATCTGCTGAGCCCTTTATTTTGGAAAAAAAGAACTTAAATTCTGCCTGACTTTGCTATTTTGTAATTATGCTCATTTGTACTGAATTTGTGTATGTTTTATTTGTGTAATTTATTTCATTTTAGTCTTTTACATGACAGAACTCACGCATACAGTATATTATATGTTTCATCATCTGATGACATCAACAGTTACTCAGCATTTTAACAGAAATAAATTTTTACTCTTACTTGACTCATTTGACTACTTTGTACTTTCACTTGAGTAAAAATATATTGAAGTATTTCTTACTTGAGTACAATTTCTGGGTGCTCTACCCAACTGGAAAGTGATTCTAAAAAGGGTTTCAAAAGGCATAAATAATTCTCAGTATGCCTTTTTTTAAATTGGAAATATATAATAATAAAAAATCGACACTCATTTTTATGGGCTACTAGTTGTCTTTACAGGTCAGTGCGGATCCCCTGATAACCGCCTTATCGGTTATTGTTCCAGTTTAAAGCGCATAAGGATTTACCAAAACAAAGCCGGGTGTCTTAATACACATTTCCTCATTACGCACTGAGCGCAGATAGAGTGAGAAACTACTCCAAAAAAAACAAACAAAAAAAAAAAACGTTTCTTACCGCTCATCTCTTCTTCCTGCGGGGATCACACCGGGTTGAAGACAGAGTAATCAGCTCCACATCCCTCTTTCAGCTCCAAATACGAGTTTTGAGTAAAAACCTAGGAGTGACAGCAGTGGGTGGGTGGGCGCCTCCTGAGATCGGGGAGCTCCGGAGCGCACACAGGCCGGTTTTCCTTTACGCGCACACTCACACGGCTCTGCGCGCCGCGCTGCTGCTCCGTGTATCTCCCTGCAAAAGTCAACAACCCACAGCCACAGGTGGGGGGAGTGGGTCAATGCGCCATCACTTAACAGCTGCCGCAATCGCCGCGGTCAGAACCTTTGCACGGATTGGGCTCAATGGATTGGAAGTGGTCATGTATTCTGCGTCCGCCAGCACCAGATGGCGCTTTGGACTTACGCATGGCCCCCACAGAAAGCACGAGCTCTGTGTTATTAAAACGATTGTCCAACGTGATGATACGCTTCCTGGAGAGCAGATCCGCTCTCAGCCCCTTTAGGCTTCAGGTTTCAACTGACTTTCGTCGTGAAACCAAGCCTCTTACAAAAGAAAAAAGAAAATAATGACTCACTATACGGCTGTTGGCTGATTCAGCTGCTGGAGTTTTCCCCAGGAACATGCAGTATAACACATAACTTTGACTAAAGCAGCTAATTTGCAAAGTAACCAAAAAGTTGAATATACTTTAATTAAAACCATTCTGTTGTGTCTCTGGATCTTGTTCAGTTAATCTCTCATGTTTGTTGCCGTTTGACTAAAACATTTCCCATGAAACTCAGTAGTTTTCCTCTCTTTGCTGAAGAAAAGCATCTCCACAGCATGATGCTGCCACCGCGATGCGTTCAGAAGTGGTAGTTTTTGTCATTTTGTGTCATTTTGCATGCTGGTCAAAACATTTTCATTTTTGTCTGAAGAACTGTGGTCATCTTTGTTCACTATACTAATAATAATAATAATAATAATAATAATAATCAGTTTTATGAGAACTAATGTTCTATAATTCTTGTGTAAATAATTTTGCTGGCATTTTAACATCATTTTTGTTAAATAGTGAATTTTGGCGCATTATTCCTGGTACGGTGGAATAGTACGGTGCACCTCTGCTCTGAGGATGTACTTACTTTTTCAACAAGCACATCATCTTTCTTTGATGGGTAAGGAAACTATTACCAATGACCATCACACAACCTCACTTTTAAAAATAACTTGTCTGCATGTTCTCTCTTTTCACCACAGACTCATTGGCATCACTTAATTTACAAATGGAAAGGAAATTAAAGGGCTGTTCCGTTTTTAATTTTCTCCACTTGAACTGGAAAATGTGATTTCAGTGTAATTCAGTTTTTCTCATATGAACTACAAAAATGACAGCAGTTAGTTCTTCTCTGCAAAGTAAAACGATCTAGAGTGAATGAGTCATGACGAGTCCATTTCTTATGCCAGTGATCAAACATTACATTGAAAAAAGCACAGTGAACTTTGCTGAACTGCGTAATTTCTCATTTGACGAACACGATTCACAAGTAGGAATTTGGTTAGACGTTTCCATCACACCAATAGTAATTTTTCAAGGTTGCCAGCCTGTGCCCTTGGCAATGTGCATAATCCTTTAATGAGATAATTGGTATAATTTTAAAGCAAGAATGCGACCAGGAAGAATGAGACCTGTACTGGTTCAAAACCTGAAGCCGACAGACTGGTTAAAAATTCAAATGTTGTTGAAGGGACAGATGAGCTGCAGGTAATCTGGGGAACCGATAGAAACCAACAGGCTCAACCAAAACAAATTCACACTGAACGGCTGAGAAAACAACACCAAACCTGACAAGTTGTTTTGTGAAACTGCAGACTCTAAATATGTGGTAACACGGCTTTGTGTGGGCTGCAGCTGTTAGCACTGTTAGCATGTTGCCCATGGTTGTCCATGTGTCTATGTTGTCCACCTGTGATGAACTGGCAACCTGCCCAGACAACGAAAGGCAATTTGAGTTGTTTTAAACAGCTCAACAGAGTTAAATCAGACTGTAGCTGTTGGCTTCCACTGGTAATAGGACTAATTTAAATAACAATGAGGCTGCAGTGACATAACGTCTTTCTGCTACAAGCAGGTAAAGTTACGAGTGATAACTTCATAGAACATTGCCTCAAAAAATCCAAACCAAAAAGAAACAATGGAAAGTATTCAGAAACGGTGTTAGCTGCAAAAGATAACAAAGGCCTTCAGTGCGCTAAAGATGGCTAATAAATAAAAAAAATAGCTAAGAAGCTTATTTTAGGGGAAACACACTGCCTGCTAACGTTTGTACTAATGTTAATGCACTGCCTTCTGATTTTTACTTTTTCTGTATTAAGAAACACATTCAACACAAAAGTAAAAACTGATGTTTACTTCAAAAACATAAGATTCCTTCTGCTCTTCTGAAATACTACTTATACTATCTAAGAATTGTGCAGTTGGTGAATTTTGCAGAAAAAATATTTTTTTTTTGTCATTAGTGGTAAATATAATATAAAACAGACATTCAACAAAAAATAAAAATCTGATTCATACTTCGTGGCAATTCTTTACCAGAAAACACGCTCATCTCTTAACACCAAATTAATAATTAATATTATTTTTTCTAAAATATAAGCTCTTTTGAAATACTGCTTATCTGTAATAGTAATTCAGGAAGGAGATGGAGGAGATTGATTGTTTTCACAAATTATCTGT